TATCCCACATATCAGATATTTACATTAAGATTCATAACAGTAGCAAAATTACAGTTATGAAGTAGCAACGAAAATAATTTTATGGTTGGGGGTCACCACAACATGAGGAACTGTATTAAAGGGCATTAGGAAGGTTGAGAACCACTGACTTAGAGGCTACACCTACTACATGGCATCAGGCAGTGAACACTCCTTTCTGTGGGGCCGAATTACTCCCACACTCTGACGCATCCACAAAGAAAAGATGCCTTTGAGAGCAAAGAGATTCCAAAGCAGTCCCTATCTGTACAGAGTGAGAAATGCTGAGAAAGAAAGCAGATGAGGAAGGGAGTGAACAGACATGGAAGGGAGTGAGCGGAGGGGGCAGGTCAGCTCTGCCCTCCCAAGGTCCCTCTGGGAGACTCTGTTGGGATCAGACCTTCCACGGGTTCCCCAGAGGCAGTGGCTTCGGGTGAGGCGACCCATCATGGAGAAGATTACAGGCCCCATATGCCAGGGCCATGACTGTCCAGACCTTGTGCTGCTCAGGCCCACCTTGGGGACCAGGCGTGAGGATGGCACTTGGCTTTGCACTAGTGAAATGGGCCGACTACACCCAAACCCTCCCTCCGACCACTCAGGAATGCGATGAGGGTGAGTGAATGGACCCCTGGGAAACTGCTTGGAAAGCAAATACAAGGTGGCACTGTATTCAAAACAGAACAGCTGAGAGTGTCAGATAGGGGCTGAAAACGCAAGTGTCTCAGGGTGAGGCGGCTGTGCACCCTGGGGCCTGGGTGCAGGGCCGGAGGGGGGACACCTGGGCATAGCTGATGGTTGCCATTGGAGAACCTAGTTTCAAAGAGGTAATATCTTCTGATTTTTTTTCCCCAGAGAAAAGTTGTGTTAAAATAACACAATTTATAAAATTTGACATGGAATTCAGTTTCAGAGAAAAATAATACCGTGGGCCCAATAAACCACATCTCCAGGAGGATGTCACCTACACCCGGACAGTGCCCAAGGTCCGGTCGGGACATCCTGGTCCTCCCACCCGGGGCTTTCAATCTTTGTTCCCACCTCATCATTCTCAAGGGATCAGACACACTCCTGTGGACGGCTAAGAGGGGACACACACTCCAGGTTAAGAATGGCCACTGAGTCAGCATCCTATCGTTTTAAAAACAGATTATGAAACTGAGGTCCAGGAAGGAAACGTGATTTTACCAAGGCCACCACAGTGAGAGTGGTGAGGTCTCCCCACTTCCATTTCCAGTGCCCTGAGCCTGACCCCCTCTCCTGCAGGCAGAGGCCACCGTTGGGGGACCAACACACAGGCAGTGAGCAGGAGATTGGGCCTCGTCTCATGAACCTGGGGATTCTGCTCACCCCTGATGGTCCCCTGGGCCCACAAGACCAAGGCTTTCTGCTGGCAGGGCCTTTGGGGGAGCCTGTGGGGGGATGGGGAACCTCGTCCTTACCTGCACATCCAGGTTTTTGCGAGAAGAGGCAGGTGTGTTGGCATAGGAGCTGATGGAGGAGCTGGTGTTGATGTCATCAGTGCTGAGGTTGTCTATGGTGTCGCTGATCCCGCTGCTGACGGAGCTGCTGTCATCCCAGCTGCCAAGACAAACACATACTGAGCATCAGAACCTCCCGCTGCGCCAGCAGGCTGCCGGTGCCAACATACGCACACCATCCCCGGGCTCCCTTCGCCAGCTTAGGCTGCCGGTGCCAACATATGCACACCATCCCCGAGGCTCCATGTGTCATGAAGCCCCAGACAAAGCTCTTTGCTTCTGACGTGACTCATCTTCATGGGAGCCACCATTCTTGCTGTTTTGGACGGGCAGCTGGGTCCAGTGGCTTGATATAGACCTTCAGCTGGGTGCTTCCCTGAGCAGAGGTGGCTAAAGACAGTACCCACGTCCTAGCCTCAATTTCGTCTCGGGAACGTTGTAAAAGCCAATGGCCACTTCCCAGGCCTCTCGGCAGAGCAGGAGCCGTGGCTTTGGAGACTAGAGCCGAGAGCGGTGCAGAGAAAGATGCTGTAGCAGCACTCTCCTTGGGCGTCAGAGTAAGTACGAATACTCTGGACTCCACTCCTGCCTTTCACTCCAAGGCAACTAAAGGAAGCAGGAGCCTGAGAGCTCTCATGGTAGCTCTACCTCTAATCATATCCCAGGATACATCTAAAATAGAATTCTTCACTGCCTACCTCTCAAGTCCATTGAGACCACCCGCACCCCTGGCCCAAGGCAAGTGTCCAGGCAATGATTCAAGGTTTCGTCCTTGCCATCTCCCACACCACCACGACATCTAAATCCCCCGCGTGGTCCTGCCGTCTCAGCTGCAATGTGCACCTGCCACCCCACAGTTTAAGCTGCTACCGACTTTGCCTAGGTTACGGCCAACAGGTCGCTGGGCACTGTGCCCACTTCTAAACACGCCATTCTCCCCATGGCAGCCAACTGAAATGTAAGTCAGGTCCTGCTGCTCCACTTTCGCATCCTTCAGTGGCTTCTTGGGTACTGAAAACCCACACGCCTACTCTGGCCCTCAAGACCCTCTGCCTGCCTCCCTCCTTAGTCCTGTCCCCACCAGCCTCTCCATCACTCTCTGGCTCTGGCCACATGGGCTCTGCTCCTTCTAAGCCAACAGGGTTCTTGTATTCAGGGCTTTCCACTTGTTGTCCCTCTTCCTGGACACTTGCCGCTGCCTCCTTCTCACCTGAAGTGTCACCTCAGAAAGGCCTCTTTCCTGTCTATG